CTAAATTTTTAGATATTTCAACAAAATTATTTTTTCTGCGTGTGTCTTAATGAAGAATTTGTCAAATAATTCCATTCAATGCGAATGCTGGCATGTGTTAGATTGCGAGCGAACTCTCCCCGGTTAAATGTCATTGCAGATTGGTCTTGTACATTAACGGGGAGAAAATCGTCACCGACGTTAAGGTCAATGATGGTAACTGGCACTTCCTGTGCGTTACTTGGGAAAGCGAGAGCGGCTTCTGGCGTGTGTTCGTCGATGGAATCCTCAAAGACAGTGGCGTCGGTTTGGCCCAAGGAGCCATGGTGCGAGGTAATGACACGCGTAATCGTCAAGAATTATCTCCGTATTCCTAAAGCAAATCATAAAATCCCGGACATCGTCCCGTCCAGCCAATGGATCCCTCGTCATCGGGCAGGAACAGGATCGCCTGGGTGGCGGTTTCTCCGAATCGGAGGATGGGGAGACTCGGCTTGTTGGACATGTGGGACTTCGTTCTGAACGAGAGTGATGTCACGAAACTATGGAACAGCTGCGAGAAGTATCACGGGAACCTCGTGGCATGGGCGCAGATGCGGCAGTACATTCACGGTGACGTCGTGGTAATTATACGTTAATTATCAAACTGCAATCCAAGTAAAATACAAGTCATCATGACAGCAAAATGACTCCAAAACGAGTTATTGATTTCAACGATTTTTCAGTAGCTGAAAAATTCACTTTCAGTGAAATTTCAGCAAATTTTTAGCAATTTCGCTGAAATGTTCCAAAACGTGGAATAATTTCAGCGAAATTTTTTCACCAGAATTACGACTCATTTTAATATTATTTTGATATTGTGACTTGTTATTCTAGAAAAGCCCCCTCTTTCGGATTTAGCGATGGACCTTAAGTAATGATTGATCATATTTTTAGATTTTAGCCAGTCCGTTTTGTCATGGCTGTCCTCTGCCCGTAGTGCCCTTCAAGGGTAACATTAAATTGAGCGAGGATCTGTCTGAGGTAACATACTACTGCGATAATGGGTATACAGTTCGATTCGGCAATGAGGAATACCGATCCATCAGAAGGAAGTGTCTCAAGCATGGCCAGTGGGAAGGATACGATACGCCGATCTGCATGAGTAAGTTCTGGTTCCCTTGTGATCGTGTTATGACACAAAGAAGAAAGCGTGAAATGAAACTGATTTGATTTGACCGTGAAATCTAAATGATTCTGGTTTGGTGGTTTCTTGTTCGAAGAAATAAAATGCGGCTTCCCGGGATACTTTCCGCGCGGACGTATTTACGGAGAATCGTATTTGTTCGAGGACGAGATATATTATTCCTGTAACGAAGGCTACGAACTCCGCGGAAACCCTCATCGCATTTGCAATTCCGACGGAAAATGGATTGGGCTGCCTCCGATCTGCATAGGTAACAATCGCATTTGAATTAAACTTGTTGTTCTGTTCTATTTGATTTAAAATGTAATCTATTTTCTTACTAATATTTCAAAAACTTTTCTTTAGTATTTAATAACTTTGTTAATAATATAAGATCTTTTTTCTGTGAAAATCTTTTTCAGAGCTTTATTTGTAATCATATTAACGATCGTACAATACATTTGAACAGCAGGACTAATATATGAGTCAAAGTTCAACGACTTTAACAGCTAAATTTGCATCCTTCAACAGGAACGACATGCAAGAATCTACTCGCTCCAGAAAATGGTGACATAGAATATATATTAGAAGAAAATGAGAGAGACGATGTCACGATATTACAGGTACATGTTTTTGTCATTCACAAAAGAATCAAGAAAGAAGAACATCGCGACGTTGAAATGTCCTACATTCTGAATTGTTCAATTATTTCAGGCTGGCCAGCAGTTGGAGTTCAAGTGCAATCCTGGATACCGTTTAATAGGAGAGAGATACTTGACCTGCCTAGACAATGGCGTTTGGGATCACAAGAGACCATCTTGCACGCCCTATGGATGTCCTTTGCCAAAACAGTGCGTCCTTTACAGGCATTCTACAATAAGCCATTAGTCATAAATCAGAAGTTAGAAGCTGGAAATTGACCAATCACAGTCGTCAATTTTCAGCTTCTGACTTCTAATTTATGACTAATGGCTTATTGTAGAAGGCCCATTAAACATACTTTCTAAAACATTTAGAGTGAACTATCACTCCGAAGAGTGAAATCTCACTCTAAAAGATTGAAAAATTGAGTCACTCTTTTTCAAAATTGGCTCAATTTTCACTCTTTAGAGTGATATTCTAAGAATTTAGAAAGTACATATATATACCTTTTGCTTAGAGATATTTATCTATTATTTAAAAAATTACGATTTGCCTAAAAATATGTTAATTTCTTTTAACAAATATTTGAGAATTGTTTAACATTCTGTGAGTATAGAATAGAACATGGCTACATCGTCCCTTCGAATTCTGGTCAAACTTCCGTTCATGATCCCGAGCGTAACATGATCGACAATCCTTCCGAAAGAACGTATCGTTATAACGACATCGTTGGATTCTCCTGCCATCGCGGCTACAAGTTTCGCAGTAATCATAATCTGACGGAATTCAAGCTGCAATGTTCTGCAAACGGCATCTGGACAGGCTTTGTCCCCGATTGCGTTCCGCGCACGTGTCCCTGGCCGGATCGCGTGGCAGACGCAAGAATCTTCCTCAAGAAACGGGATAACATCACGGTCGAAATTCCGATGGAAGAAGACGCTACATGGAAACCCGATCGAAGAAGAAGTAATGAGAGCGACACGGAGAGCGGGATTTCTCCGGAAACGTTCGTTTCCGGTGCAGAAATCATTATAGTCTGTAATCCAGGATATGAACTAGTAGGGGACCGGGTCAGAACGTGTACACAGGAGAAGTGGTCCTCGACTTTCACTTCTTGCGAGCCGCGTAATTGTTCAGTCGAGGAACATCCAATTTTTAAATTTTTCAAGAAACTGGGAAACGAAACCGCCTTGAAAAACAGCAACACAGACGCGACATCGTTCGAATTAGACAAGAAACGGTACAGCAAAGAAAACGTTACGCACCAATACAAAGATTTCGATATATTCGTTGAAAGAAACAGTTACGAGCGACGAATAGTTTTAACGTGTCGAAATGGCGCACAGATGAACCTCCACAAATTAATCGCCAACGAGACGATTGCAAATATAACATGGACGTGCAATAAGACCGCAAAATGGGAAGTTTCAAATTTATCGCTGAAAGAGTCTATCCTCGAACAGGTGCTGAATGATTCGACAGACATCTGCGATAGATCGTGTGCACCTCCGCAAGTAAGTTTTCTGAAAACACCGATGGATAATATCAGTATCTACAAGAAAGAATAAAAAATTAACTAATACCCATTTCTACGAATGTAGATTAACTTACTCTTTATTTTTTCTAAAAATTCATTTTTTCTACTCTTAGAAAAGGATAAAAAATAAGTTAAACTGAGATTAAAATTAATCTACATTGGGAGAAACGGGCACAAGTGTTCTAAGTTAAAAATAATAATACAAGGAAATACATCCCAGATAACATGCATGTTGCATAAGATATCTATAAGACGTCTTGTAGATATCTTATACAATATAAATGTTATTTGGGATACGATCTTGTCTTTTCGTACAATATTTTCAAACTTCGCATATTTCCAGGATAAAATTCCAATTAATTTCAGATACCGGAGTACGGATACATCGATAACGGCAACAATACTGAGAACGTTAACAATCGTAAGACGATCAACAGCTTCGTCATTTTCAAATGCCGTCACGGATACATTCTTGAGGGTGACGAGCAATCTATTTGTTTATCGGACGCTAGGTGGTCCACTTTGCCTTTCTGCAAACGTATGTTCCTTCTCTTTAAATCATCTGCAAAGGCTCTAATGTCTATTTTCATCAATAGTATTTTAACTTTATAATCTCGGTTCAACTAACTCTTCATCTTCTTCTGCTTTTAATAATTAAAAAAAGATAAAGAAAAGTCGAACCGAAGTAAAATTTAATCTACATTGATGGAAACGGGTATTAGACATCTCTAAGTTCACATGTTGAATATTTCTAGCTGTGGTATGCGGAAAACCGCCGATTCTCGCTAACGCAATACTGAAGAGCGACGAAACTCAGAATTACACTTTTGGCAATACGATCTCTTATCAGTGTGTCCCGGGCTATCGCGTATTCGGGCAGGCAAGTCTAAGATGTTTAGGAAACGGGAAGTGGTCCAAACTGAATGGCAGATGCTCCAGTATGTATATGTAAAAAAAATTGCAACTCTTGTCATTAGGAGACTCTAATACCTAAGGCCTGGTTGCACCAACGTTACTTTGACTTTAAGCGAGGCTTAAAACTCATTCTATCTCTCCCACTCTCTCGGCTTTAAAGAGAGAAAGTGAGAGTTTTAAGCCTTACTTAATAATAATAAATCAAAGTAATTGGTACAATTAGGCCATAATCGCATTGTTATCGCTTGCAGAAATATCGTGTGGCAAACCACAGATCCAGCAGGGAATCGCGCTCTACGGTCGTTCGTACTTGTTTCAAGATCAATTGACATATATATGTCCCGATGGTGAGAAGCGGGGAATGATTACGTGTCAAGCCGATGGGAAGTGGAACGAGTTGCCAAAATGTGACGGAAGTAGGAGCGTGTGATTCAGAATATGGCCAAGAAGGATTTAGTACAACGCCTCGTAGAGAGAGAAAGAGAGAAGAATCTCCACCTTTGTAACAACACACATGCTTTTTTTTTTATTTGTTTGACCTCTTGTATCAAGACTCATGAATGTAATATAGAAAACGTAATTACGCAGTCTTATCACGAAATAAATAATTCAGTTTTGAAATTTTCGGAGTAGTACATTCGGATATGCGACAATACCTTATCTAAATTATTTATGCGCGATTTATCGTAATCTTTAATTTTAGGATATTGTACCTCGAATATATATATACTTTTATCATCTCTTTTTTTGTTTCTTTTTACTGGAAAAGTTGGTGTATATCGATACAAATAATTCTTATCTCAAAAATTGGCATTGTTAAGCCTGTCACGTTCAAGTACGACAGTTCATACTGGCCATGAGAGATATTTCATAAGTTTAGTTGTACATTTTGTTCGTATTTCGTGCATAACGGATAACGAAAAGAAATCTAATTTTGTAAAAACGTACAACGGTGTTGTGGCTGAAGTACTTCTTACACACATCGTATTTATGTTTTGGTACGAAGTATTGTTCGAACATACCGTACAAACGTATTTGCGTATTACTATACTACCTGAGGAAGAGCAATGAAGATAAATACTGTGTGAAAATAATTTCTCATATATAAACGACGTATATTAATTTATATCTAATGATGTCATAAAAATGGAGCACCTTTGATCAAATAGATCCATTAGCATGGCTACCTTACGGGAAAATTAGATTATTAATGCATATGTCCTTCGAAATTATTGAGATATAAAAATGTTACATAACAAAATTTGCCCATTATCGTTTGTCTCATGCTAATTCTCATTTAAACTCTACTCCATTTAATGGAAACTAAATGTCTTAGTTCATAAGAGACTGTCATTAAAGACAAATTTTTTCAGAACACAGCTATACGCGAATCGTATATTGACACGGATAATATATATCCTAAATGCTGTAAACAATTCCTCCGTAGAAGAAACAGAATTTTAGCCATCCTAACTTAATTGCATGTCTAAATTAAGGATAATCCTTCAGAGTTCCGTCTTCGAGTTGCTACTAAAGTACTTGGGTTTGAGCTCCTCAATCCGCTTGATAAAGTCCGTCTTCTCTATACAACCGTCACACGTCTCTTCCCAATCATTCAAAATTTTCTTTAAATCACGTACCTTCAGCTTCTTCAGATTTACCGTATTGAGATCGATTTGTTTCTCTGAAACAAAAATAGCAACATAACAATGTCGAAATAATCGATCTTGCAACAAGAATGCCAAGAGCGCACAAATGTTATACATACCGAATCTCAAATCGCATATTTGAGCATCTCTCTTCTTTAATTTCTCGCATATCTTATCTGCAGGCATAGACCATGATAGTGGTTTACTGAGCTCACCCAAGATACCAGTGGCAGATTCTTCTAATCCACCTAAATAATAACACTGGAAGCACATACAACAGTTGCGATTATTTTAAACAATTGACCGAGAGAACACATCTATATTTATTTTGTCCACAGGCTCATACTTACAAATCTATTTTCTTTTGATTTAGTGCCTTTACAAAATTCTCGAAACTTTTCTTCAATCTTCTTGGGGTCACTTTTAATATCTTCCGTTAGTGTCTGACTAAATTTGTCCACAACAGCGACACATACTATAAAATTAGATAAGAAATGTATAAAAAAGCATGTACAAACTTTATATATAAAGACAAATGTCAGAGAGATTCTCACCTTCACAGTCACCTTCTTTTAATGCCGTAACAGTACACACAATTCCGAGGAATACAGAAAGTATTAGCGACATTGACACATTCATCTTCCTGTTCTATTGAGTTCTGTTAATTAAAAATATTTTTTAATATCATTTTAATCTTTATATATATAAAATGTAAATAAATATTTATACAAGTGTGTTATCACATGATCGTGTAAATAAAAAAATCTGTTTTTTTAGCTGGACTTCCTGCATCATTTATCTTTCCTCTTTTTTCCTCCAACGTGAAAAGAAAAAGAGGCAAGATAAGCCATGTAAGAAGTTAAAAAGCCTAGTTTCGATGACATATTTTACATGTTTATCTGTCACAAGAAAGACGAGAGAAAGTCGATTAAACCGATCTTTCGCAACGCTATAAATTTCCATTTATTCTATTGACTCAAATTAATCGGAATTTAATTACAAGTGTTCTAATTCAACAAAATCACAACATCCCTGTTACTCCTCGGAAGACACTAGAAGAAACGTGCCAAGCTTTCAATCTCACGAGACTCCTAGGTACGATTTTGCGGCCAACGGTCGCCGATGACAAAAGAACAAGGGGAGTTGTGACGGAAAAAAACGCGAGGTGTCAAATGTTGACACATAAGTGTCTCCAATGGACTAGATTTAAGGTTATTTCGCGCGGGCGCGTGGTACGTACCGTTGCGATCGGATTGAAAATTAGCGTATTCCCGATGCGAGGCCTCCGTCGTTCGATGGATGGGCGACGCGCGGTGACTTTAATTCACACCCTCGACTCCTCGAAATAACGACACGTCCACCGCCGTCATTCACCTGCGAGCTTTGCGACACGTTGGATTCTGTCAAAAACCCGGAATCCCAGCTGGCGCGTGCCGATTGGTCGTGACGTCACTGCCGTCCGCGCGCGCCGATTGGTCGTGACGTCACCGCGATTCGCGTGCGATGTGAGTGAGAGGGCACTATATTCGCGTTTCGTCACTTCGTGCTGCGGTGCTGCACTTTCGCATTTTCTGCACTCGAACTGAAACATTCGACCAACCGGTTAGATGGAAAGAAAGGGCGAATAATTCGGAAAGTTCAGCTTGAGAAACGGGAACCATGACGGAACTAAACGGAGCAGCGGTTCTATTTACTTTGCGATCGCCATGTTTACTCCAACAAAGTTCCGTGGATATTTATACCGAGGAAAACACAGATTTATCGCTCGGCGCGTAAAAAACGAAAGAGAAGTATCTTTTTCGCGGCACCCATGAGTGTCCGATGACGAAAAGTGGATTATCGCTCCGACGAGCTGGTTATTCATCGTCACGCGGATGAACCGATATCGTAAGTCCGGCTAACCTTTCGAGGACGTCACGGAAAAGGGACCGAGGTAATATTCACTAATGAAAATCTGCGTGAGTCTGTTTATAAGCATAATTGAAAGAAAATAACGGAGTAAATGACGGAAGACACGCGTTACAGGCGGAATGGCGCCACGCAGGGAGGCGAGACCTAACCTCAATGCTGGCAGATCTTCGAGGAGGAGCAACAAGAGCTGGCTGGAGAATCACGTGGAATCACGGCGGCAGCTCGTCTCTTTCCTCACCGATCCGAAAAAACTGTCTTTAACGGCGGAACTGTTCGTCGTCCTGGAAATCGTCTTGAATGTAGTGGTCATCCAGACAGTGCCGTACACTGAAATTGATTGGAAGGCCTATATGCAAGAAGTCGAGGGATTCCTGAACGGCACGTCGGACTACTCGAAACTGCGAGGTGACACTGGGCCACTGGTCTACCCTGCTGGCTTTGTCTACGTTTTTTCCAGCCTCTATTACATAACTTTTCGTGGCGTCAACGTAAGGATAGCACAGTACGTCTTTGCGGCGTTGTACGTGATCACGCTGATGCTAGTCTTCCGGATTTATGCACGGACCAAGAAAGTACCGCCCTACGTCCTTATCTTGATGTGCTGCACCTCCTACAGAATACACTCGATATTCGTTTTGAGGCTCTTCAATGATCCAGTGGCAATGGTGCTGCTATACGCATCTATCAACTCATTCTTGGACAATCGCTGGTACTTGGGTAGCGCGTTATACAGCCTTGCTGTGTCCATCAAGATGAACATACTGCTGTTTGCTCCGGCGCTTCTTATCGCTTACCTATGCGTGCTAGGAACGTTCAAAACACTGATACATTTGTCTATCTGCGCATTAATACAGCTGATTCTTGGTCTTCCGTTCTTGCTAGAGAATCCGATCGCTTATATAAAGGGCGCTTTCAATTTGGGTAGAATCTTCGAGTTCAGGTGGACTGTAAATTGGAGGTTCTTGCCAGAAGAGGTATTCGTACATCCGTATTTGCACGTTTCTCTGTTACTTCTACATGTGTTAACGCTGCTGTATTGCGCGCCCATTTGGATCAGCTACATGAAGTCGTACGCGAAGTTAAAACACGTAGGAAAGGAACTGAAGTCTCAACTTCGTAAGAAAGAGAAGGTAGATATGTCTACTGTAAGTCAGTTATTCGTCTATCCTCTTTTCGTTGCGAATTTTATCGGCGTTATGTTCAGCAGATCGTTGCATTATCAATTCTATATATGGTACTATCACATGTTACCGTACATCGCGTGGTGCACCGACTACAAAACTATCTTTAAATTGACCATTTTAGGCGTGATAGAATTGTGCTGGAACACATATCCGAGTACGGTGTTCAGTAGCGCGGCGTTGCATTTATGCCACATAATTTTGCTATACGGCATTCTAAAAAATAGATCGAATAACGCGAAAGAGAAATGAAGGCTGACGCATTTCGGTCTCAATTATATGTAATATATAAAGTTGAATACATATTCATATCGTGTATCTTTCCATCCGATGTTACTTAATATCCATCGTCCCGATACTATGTAATCTAATTGTCCGTTTATAATTTAATAATTTGCATAATATTCTAGTCTGTATTTACAAACGAATATGTATTTATATGTACAATATACCTTTTGTATATTGAACTAAATAAATTATGTTAAATCCATACATTTCTGTACACTGAAAGGAAAGATTGACTAAATATGGCATAACAATTTTAATTGGCTGCTGCGAGTCAGTTATGCCATATTTTACCATCTAAATTGCTACAGCAGCCAATCTTTTCTTTCAGTGTAGAAATACCTAAATCGCTTCCTTTCTAAGATGAGTGTGAAGACAATTTCAGTCAATTTGAAAGGACGACCATGTTTACTTGATAAATTATAGCTTGACCGAACTATAGCATATCGAAATAAATTTGTTAGTTTTATTTCCATATTTGCAATGAAAAACTGCATATTTATAAGATATCTCCTTATTTGTGCAAAATATACTTAAAAATATTTTTTAATTCTCATTAACAAACATAAAAGATATAATTATGTCCGAGGTAATCTTTGTAGATTAATATCAATATTCACTTGCAAAATATAAAGCACTGTATGTAGTAACTGTGTAAATGATGGTCCGTTTTCAGTTTGATAAAAAATTATGTCAATATACATGTTAATTAGATATCTAGATATGTCTACAGAAATCTATAGTTATATCTTATTTTTCAAACGCGTTTGCGTCTTTACGTACATGCGTAATAAAAAGACAGTGATTACCATGTCATTTGCTTTTTCTTACTTTATTATAGTACTGTATTTATACTAATGGTATACTTTGCAAGTAAAATAAAAAAATAATGTAACGAAATGTAGCGAACATTTTGCTTGGTATATATCACGTTGAAATTTTATTTAACATTTACATATCATTTATAATTGCAGCGAGTATTTATTCCGTAACGAGTTTTTGTAATGAACGATAATTGCTATGCTGTATAAATCAATGTACATCATACAGAAAGTGTAAAAAACGAAAATGGGGTGATGAATGGATAATACATAATTAATACTTAGTGCTTACACAATTATAATCTACACACAAGTTCTACTCGCCGATATTAATCCTTATACACGATTGGGTTATTCGTGTCCTATGCATTTCTTGTCTTTGAAATACTAGGAGCACTAAGTAATTAATTATAAATTATAACATTTATGTACAATTTTTTGAATACATAATCTTACATATATTTTACAAAGACGTTAAATTATATGTAAAAATCACTTAATAATTTTGATAATTTGACAATAATTTTTTACTTATAAAAATAATGAAAGTTAACCGGAGACACGAACGACCCGTTGTGTGTAATAAAGGTCTGGAAAGTTATCGTGTGCACTAAGAATTAAATTTTCGCATGCGAGATAATTAATGCAAATTTTTATTTAAGATATATTGTACATAGCAATTCGATCATATATAAGACGAGTTTTTTAATTCATCGATTGATCAATCGCATTATGCGCAAATGCAGCTTTTATGGAACAAAATTACATTTGCATACAGTGCGATTGATCAATCGATAAATTAAAAAATTAATTATGAAGGCATGTTATCGGAAGGTTTGTTCTTTTTTTAGCTGAACTTCTTGCACAGTCTATCTTTTTTCTTTTTGTCAAATTGTGAAAAGAATAGAAGGAAACATGACTGTGCGAAAAGTTCAGTTGAAAAAAAAAACCTTGAATTAATATTGTAAATATGCGGTAAAAGAAATCTACAGTAAAAAGAAGCTTGCAAAAAATCGCACAAAATTTCCCGAGAGAGAGAGAATTGCAAATTCAAGTTCAAAGCAGACATTTATTAAAAACTCAACAGAAAATTCTACTCATTTATTTCATCAGGAATATCGCTTTTTTGATACATGTACATAAAACTATTTCGTTGCACGAGAAAACGAAAATGACTCATATTATTTAAACCGCATGCAGTTTTTCCAAATAATATCTATTTGCTTTTATAAAAAACGGAAGTGTATCACAACCGTCGATATATCGCACGGACGATCAAAGAAATCGTGCGAAGTTTAGAAGAAGGAGGCCGCGAGTTTTGCGACGAAGTGTGTCAAAGAGAGAATCGTCAATTCTTTCATCGGCCGCCCCACCGCCGTTTTCGCTCAGAACGGCGAACCTTTTGCTCGGCCACGTGGATACCGCTATCTTTTCGTCGTGGGGGCGACATCCCATCGAGTTAGTGGGAACATTGGTTTTAGCACTCTTAAGCCCTGTCTCAGCCTTGACATTACGTGCGCGCGCGCGTAAGCGTCGCTGATAGCCCCCTAATTCCGAGCAAAGCATCGATCGCGACCGCGCTTTCGCAAAGCAGAGCGCAGTACAACGCCGGCAGTCATCAAGGTAGTGCCAAGCAGGAAGTCGTTGCCGAAGTCGTTGCCCTTCCGGGGAATGTAACCTTAATATTTTCGTCTAACCAATCCGATCCGTTCTCAGCATCGTGCTCGCCGACCTTGTCCTTCGTTTCTTTCATTCGGCTGTGTATATTTCGAACGTGATTAAATACGATCATCGTTATTTATCGAGCAGTAGTCTGTTATCGTGCACGTTTATTGATATTTCATTCCCCGAGACGAGAATATAGCTGTCGCATCCTCGGTGAAGAACAGAGTTCGTTATTCGTCGCCGGATGATCGGGAGATCCGGAAGAAGAGTCAGTCGCTGGTAAAGGTCGAGTTCAGGTGAGAAAGTGAGAAAGTATCGTGGTACGATCGCTTCGCGCATTGAAGTATGAAACGTCGGAGAAAGCTGTATCGCGATGAAACTCTATGCAATTTACGACGGATCTGCCCGGTCAGAATTAATTACTTTTTTTTTAAGTCGCGCCGGGCGAAGACTAAAATTAGCTATGTGTCGCATCACTATATATAAAAATGTTAAAGGTAATTTTAATTCATTCGAAGACTTTTGATTAATGTATTAGGTTCTCTTATAGAAAATGAATACCGAAAGGTAGTAATTAATTACTTATTAAGTAGTACAATATAGCACAAACTATATACCTACTTTATAATTTCAATTTTCGTCCATCCGTCTAAAAAATTTCTCAAAAACAGTTTATGCTCGTTTCTTTCAATATAGATTAAGTTTAATCTTGATTTAACTTACTTTTTATTTTTTTAATTATAAAAATTAGAAAAAGATAGTAAGTAAATTAAACCGAAAAAATTAATATTGAAAGATAGTAATTAACTACTTATTAAGTAGTGTAAAAAATATAACAAACTATATACCTATTTTATAATTTCAATTTTCGTCCTTCTATCTGATTACACAGGCCTGCGATGATTTGGAAACTAACGAGAGTAATGATTTCTTACGTAATTTTTCACGCTGAATCGAAATCTAACAATAAAATTGTTCCATCACGGCAGGATTCGAGATATTCTAACCTAAAGTTACAAAAAAAAAACGCTTTTTTTGGGTATATTCGAGTTTCTAGAGTATTTAAAGTATACCTCTCTCAACATCAGCACTAATTTTACATGAAAGTACTAAATGTTGCCTTTCAAATATTATTTTAACCCGATATAATTTTTTTTGCTGAGATATGACAAATTGCATTTTCGGAGTATCAGTAACAACTGGATAAATGATATAAATACATAAATGTTGCAGTCAAGAAATGGGGATATATTTCTTAATCATTGGCAGAATATTGAGCTAAAGCCTCTAAATCCTCAACCCTTAATGTTTTTACGGCAGAATGATCATTAAACATTTTTTTAAACTCAAAGATTTTAGGATTTAATGGTTGATGGTTTAAGTGTTTATGGCTCAAGAGTTTAGACATTAAGAGCTTAGGATTTGGAGGCTTTAATTCACTTTTCTGTCAATGAATAAGAAATATATCCTTATTTCTTGACTGCAATATATTTATGTATATCATTAACCCAGTTGTTACTGAAACTCCGAAAATTCAATTTGTCATATCTCAATAAAAAAAAATGGGTTAAAACAATATGGGTTTGAAAGGTAACATTTAGTACTTTCATGTAAAATTAGTGCTGATGTTGAGAGAGGTATACTCTAAATACGGCAGAAACTCGAATATATATCCCCAAAAAAGCGTTTTTTGCAATTTTAGATTAAAATATCTCGAAATCCTGACGTGATGGAATAATTTTATTGCCAGATTTCGATTCAGCGTGAAAAATTACGTAAGAAATAACTACTCTAGTTTCTGTTTAGACCCTTCATTTCGCAGGTCTGTGTTATCCGTCTAAAAAATTTCTCAAAAACAGTTTATGCCCGTTTCTTCCAATGCAGCTTAATTTTCATCTTGATTTAACTTACTTTTTATTTTTTAATTCTAAAAATTAAAAAAAGATAGAAAGTAAATTAAACCGAGATTAAAGTTAATCTACATTGGTTAATTTTGGTTTAACTTACTCTTCATTTTTTCTAAGAACTAGAAAAGGATAAAAAGTAAATTAAACCGAGGTTAATCTATATTGAAGTGGATATTAACTGTTCCCATTCCGTTTTCGGTAATACAAGGATCTTATCTCCTTTTATATATTAATCAAATCAGTTGACCATAAAAGATCAAAGTCAACGAGATTTTCAGTACAGAGCGAACCAAACAGCTTAACTTTTTCAAATTTTGATATTTTGCTGTATTACTTTATTACATTTGTTGCAACGGTTTATTTTGAGTATTAAAAGTATTGTTGTTTAGTGCTCGTGTTAAGTTCTTAACACGAGTAATTAATCATTATCTTTCAGTATTAAATTGGCTAGTACTGAATTTCTACAAGATCTATGTTAAAAGTATACTCATATATTTATACTTCTCTGTCACAAACTTGAGAATATAAGAGGCAAAATTTTTCCTTTTAAAACACGCATTATCTAAAGTAACGCGTTAAATATTATCATTGTGCACATGATAACTACAACGCGACAACGGTAGGACTTTGCTCCTCATGTAAAGCTTTGATTTTTTTCTATCTGACGATCGCGACGAATACTGATTGGATTGCCAATACGATGAATAAATATTGTATGTTAATGTTTGCATTGCGTGTTTGAGAACGAAACTTGATACTACCTTTTACGTTTGTGCTTATCATTCTATATTTCAAAAACACTTGCGTGTCTCTATATGATAGGTACGTACGTGAAAGAGAAGCGTGCACTTAGAAAAATAAAAACGTAACAAAAGAAAAAGAAGAAGCACTAAACACTCATTTTGCACAAACGTTCATAGAAGGACAATCGATCACGTGATTAATGTATTTTTCCACAAGTAAGAGATTCATGGATATATCATTTATATAAGAGCTTATCTCTATAGCCTGACAGGAAATATATTACGCAAGATAATGACACCTAAGCAGAAAAATATAGTCGAAGATTAATATGCCTCAGACTATTTTAAGATAATGTGTGATTATATCGGAAATTAAACAAGTTGAAGATGTTAAGTAGATGAATGTTATATGAACAACATTTTTCAAAGTAAAGCAAGATATAAATGCGGATGTCAGTGAATGAAGTTACTAATACAATGTAATGATTAATATATGGCTGATATGACACGAGGTCATGGAAGCCAAATCGACAATGACTGGCAGGCTTCTTGCTATCATTATAACGATCACGCTAGGCGACAGTTTGTTAAATTCAAATTTAGCTTGTTAATATAATTCAGATGAAATAATTTAAAATTCAATGATGGTTTTTTAAATTATTTACTTTGAGAAATGACAAATATTAAATCGTGTATCGCGTTTTATTGCTCAGCCGCGATTAAATTAAGCAAATATAAACAACCACACTGAAAAAAAGATTGGCTGCTGCAGCAAATTAGATGATAAAATATAGCATTTTTAATTGGCTGCAGCAGCCAATTTTTGGTTGCATTAGTCTATCTGCAATGTCAGTATAGGATTTCAATAGATTAACACAACCAAAAATTGACTGCTGCAATCAATTAAAAATGCTGTGCCATATTTTACCATCTAATTTGCTGCAGCAGTCAATCTTTTTTTTTCAATGCAGGATTGGGTAAAACGCCTTTCGAATTCTGTTTAAAGTATTGATTGTAAAACTTTCAAAAAATATATTTAAAATGCAAAATGCAAAATAAATTTTTTTGAATCCATTTTAAATATAAAATGGATAAACAGATATTTTAAATGGTTTTCGAATGCAAAATAGTTTCTCCTGCCATAGCGGAAAAAAATTTTTACGAAAAAGTACAGAAAAACTATATAAATTGAGACAAGATCTTAGAAATTCTTAGTTTTTCGTAGTGGGACGTAAAGTACTGTTATTTGTTTGAAAAACCAAGAAATCCTCTGCCCACTATTATTGCAATGTTCCAGTAGTATCACATTATATATTTTAAACGTTATAATATTGTTGCTAGCTTCTGTGTTGTGTGAGAAGATTGAATTATTCATGTGACACATATATGGTATTGCTTATTATATTTTAGAATGGCGCTAATCTGGTGGGAGAAGATATTTCTGTTGATAATAGCGCTGATCAGTTTGAGGATCTTCGTTAAAATCGGAATTCTAGCATGGAAGAAACTGATCGCCCCGAGTCTCGGATTTGGAATAAATTTGCGAACCCAGGGGAAATGGGCGGTGGTAACTGGTGCGACAGATGGTCTTGGGAAGGCATACGCTAAGGCACTTGCCGAACAAGGTATGGATATCGTCTTGGTCTCACGGTCCTTGTCCAAGTTAAAGGACGTAGCTACTGAGATCGAGCAGAAATATAGCGTGGAAACTCGTGTCGTGGAAGCTGATTTAACCGAAGGCCAGATAGTTTACGCGGAAATTGGCAAAGCAACGCAGGACTTGGAGGTAACAAATCTAATGTGATTCATTGTAAATCTCGAATAAATTGATAGGAATATTTCACAGAGATGCCTGGACAAAGAGGAGATCGCTCTTCTTTGAAAAAAAAAAATGCAAAAAACTATAAAACAAATTAATTTAGGCTTTAATAAATAAATCATTAAATAATAATAAAAAGCACAAGTTAATTTGTATAAAAAAATAAAAAATTTCTTTTCCTTAAAAATTTGAAAAATACTTTTTTTAACGATAGAGAGAGATAAAGCGAAAGAAAATAATTAGAAGATATTTTTCAATAGGTCGGTGTTCTTGTGAACAATGCTGGCGCAAGCTACGACCATCCTGAAATGTTCACAAATGTGTCGGAGGAAGTTCTCGCAAGAATATTGCAATTGAATGTGGCCGGAGTAACCGGGGTCGCGAGAGCGATTCTGCCCAGTATGATGGAACGAGGAAAAGGAGTACTCATCAATGTGAGTTCGACATCCGCGGCTATACCCAGCCCGTATCTGTCCGTTTACGCCGCCAGTAAAGCGTATATTGACAAACTCAGCGCCGATTTGGCTACGGAAGCTGCGCCGAGAGGCGTCACCATTCAGTGCGTTCTACCCGGCCCAGTCGCCACGAAAATGTCCAAGATCAAGTAAGAACCTCTTACATAAATTCGAGAAATTGTGAAAAATAATATTCTATATTTTATTTTTCAATAAACACAGAATTTGAAATTTTTCTGAAACGTCGGTTGTCGTCGCTTCATATCTTTTCTTTTCCGTAGGAGACCGACGTGGATGGCACCTACCCCGGAGACATTCGTCAAAGCGTCACTGAGAACAGTCGGCATCGAATCGCGCACGACCGGATATCCACCTCATTCTTTGATCCTCGGCTTCATAAACGCGTTGCGTTACACGTGCGAGACGGGCGCGGTGTGGCTGGTGGCGAAAACAATGCTTAATTTAAGGGGACGAGCTCTTCGCAAGAAGACGAAACTCACGGTAGAACGGGAAGTTTCGGAGGGGAACACTTTCTAGTTGTCTCGCGCGTTGATATCGTTTCTTCATTAACGAATAAAGCAGTGACACATAAAAAAACGTTGCAGTGTAAGCAATAAGCGACTCTATCAATCAAAGTCAAGGACGTAGGGCATTAATGTAAGCAGCAGTAAATATAAAAATGTTTATTTGCTTACTGCTTACGTTTTTCTGTGTGTCATCTTTTAGCATAATGCGTATTCCGTCAGTCATTCTAGAATTGCTTTTTGTTACTGTTTCACATTTAACTAAATTCTTTTGATCGGTACTTCTTTATATCCGAATCTATAATATATTTGTTTCTCAAAGTTTTCCCTCTCAAAAAGATAGTTTTGAAGTTTTCTTCTGTTGTCTACGACAAGCAAATTCATAATGAAGGGGACAAGATTTTACGAAGACTTTTCTGAGTGACCTAAATCGGACAGAAAAATGCATATATGCATATCTACGCATCAAGTGCACTTATAAACATGATTGTTATCTCATTTTAATTGTAAAAATCTATATTCTTCTCTAATACATCCATTTTTGTGATATTAATTCATTTGAACAAAACAATTTTTTATTACATGAGTATCTTCCTTCCTATAAAGGACGCTGTAGCGTTTCTCTCATAACATGATAATGTCCCTTTCTTAATATAAAAAGAGGATGTTATTAACGTATTAAACTTCAAAAATATGACGGGAGACGCGGTAGCGTCTCCTAATACTGGCATGAAAGAAAAAAAAGATAAAAAAATACTCATTGGAATATTCTTCGCTGTTTTGATTGAAATACAATACAGCGCTAATTATCTCTCAATAAAGTGTTGAGTCTATTGTGAGTGCAAAAAACACTCATCTTTTATGTAAGATTCATTAATGATAATGAAATCATTGTTTTAAACATCTTAAAAACTATGTAGTCTTGGAAAAAACACCTCGATATATTTTATACCTACATATTTTTAATGATTGCAAATAAAATAGTTACACACATGAAACTGATAGGTTTTTAATTGATATTAAGATAACGCGTGAAATTTTACAGAAAGCGTGATCGAGTACACAGAACTCTTTTCGTCTCTTATCGAAAGAACTCTTATCGCATGCTGCGATATTGCAAGAAATATTGCAGGAGATATGGAAAGATATGCGAAAACTTTCAACAAGATTACAGCAAGAATTGTCGCTAATTATAAGTTCTGAATGCCTCTCTCCTAAATGTTTTCTATTAAAAATTTTCCTAATCTCTTTCTTAAGAAATTTTTCTTAAGAAATCTACTGTGCCAAATTTCTCCTGAATCTTACAATTTATTATGAGTACAATAATTAATAAACCGTCGACCGGATAAGTTAAGAAAGTAATCGAATGTTTCGAGAGCACACCTGCTATTTTTTTGAGTTTGTTTCAGAAAACTCAATCGTTACGTAACAGATAGCAAATAAAATAACTATCGATTTCAAACCTTGCACTGGGAACTCGTCTTCTCTTTGAAATTGTTTTGTAATTATCATACAATTGCCTCTGTATAATAATAGCGCGTCTACGACTTGGCTCCATCGCAGCGTTAAATTTTTTTGTCGCACTTTGCATCCCATTTGACTAATTTTTTTCTTTTTTTCTTTCATCCGACTCGAAACTTACGTTGTAGGGAAGACAACAAGCATAGAGAAACACAGGTAAGTAAAACGGATGTATATAAAATTCGCCGAAAAGTAGACCGCGATAAATCGCTCTCTGTTTTAACGAAATTATTTCAAGTAATGATACTTTTTTTTTTATCGAGTCTTCGCATATCCATTTTTATCATAATATAATTTAGTTTTAATCTCGGTTTAACTTATCCTTCATCCTAAGAATTAGAAAAAACGAAGAGTTAATTGAATTGGGATTAAAATTAAACTACATTTTGATAGAAACAGGCATTAGAAAAAGATGAGTAATAAGTTAAACCGAGATTAAAATTAATTTACACCGAAACCAGCATAAATTGTGCTATTATGTTTTTTTAATTCTTAAAACTAGGAAAAGATAAAAATAAGTTACACCAAGATTAAAACTAATCTATATTGATAAAAACTAAGATAATAGTACTAGAGCAAATTCGACTGAATTCCGATTAATCAGTGATTGATTCAACAGCAAAATTTCTAATTCTACAATTAAACAATGAAAAAATTAATTTTATCTACCCCTACAGCACAAAATTGCACAAAAGTTGCAGCAATATTGCAGAGATTTTGCAGCGATATTGCTGCAAATTCTGTGCTGTATGGATATTAACAAAATAATAGATATAAAATTTAATTTGATACATTAAAGTTAATTAACTCGATTAGCTCACCGATTAGAATTAGACTAATGAAGGTTTATTCATACTTGACCCTGTTCAAGAGAAAAAGAAATTCTTTTCGAATGATTAATCCATTCTCTCTCTCTCTCTCTCTCTCTCTATCCATTTTTGTCTCGCATGCGCAAATCGAATCGCACTGATCGCGCATTGCCCTCACGCGCCGAAACAATATGGCCGTCTGCACCCGTACGTTTCATGGTTAAATACTCGTGGATCTGCACGATACGAACGGAAAATCGCGTTGATCAAGGGTCCAGGTCGAATTCAACCGTGTCGCAGGCGGATACTTGGTGGAAAGTCGGTCGAGCCAGCGCGAGGCGAAACGAGTGAGAAAGCGACGCGCGTCAAGTTAACGTTTCGGCGCGCCTAACCTCTCGAGGTAGGCGGCAAGTGGCAGTGTTACATTCCGCTTCGACTACCACTCCCCGGTTGGTCCAAGCGTCACACACCGTCGAGGAAGAGAGATCCCGTCCACGTGCTCGTCGTTCACCCGTGTCTGCGTGTGTCTCGTTCCGCCGCGCCGATAACCGATGTCCGCTGGCATGTTCCGCACGACGACAGCGAGGCCGTTCAACCTTCGTTACATCCTCGCGTTCAACAAACCTTACGCACTTTGTCGGAGAGAAAATAAACTGAAATAGTGTTTACCACAGCTGGACACGTGCGCGCGAATGCGAATCGGTCCGACCCTAGCTTAAGTTTTGTTTTTATAAATATAGAGTAGCCTAGGTCGAATTGTATGTATATATTGCTGTACGCACCGCTGCGTCATTCGTTTACATTTGTTGTTGCAATCACTGAATATTGTAAACCGTACGATACGTAAGTACGACACGTAGACATATATATATATACATACATATATATATGTATATTTGTATATACTTCGTTGAGCTATATTCTTCATCCTTCGTTCTCCTATCTGAGTAACGATGCGCTTTATCAGCGTTGAGAAGCTTAGCGAGATACAAAATGACGCTACATGTATCAGGAACATATGTATCTTGGCGCACGTGGATCATGGAAAGACTACCCTGGCGGATTCTCTCGTTGCGAGCAATGGCATCATATCCAACAAGCTGGCTGGCAAACTTAGATACCTGGATAGTAGACAAGATGAACAGATACGTGGGATCACTATGAAATCTAGCTCCATAACGCTGTATCATGTACGCAACAAAACGGACCATGTGATAAACTTGATCGATTCTCCAGGACATGTGGACTTCTCCTCGGAAGTTTCAACAGCAGTCAGACTGTCGGACGGAGCTGTCATCCTAGTTGATGTAGTGGAAGGCGTATGTCCTCAGACACGTAGCGCCTTATCTATAGCCTACGTCGAGGGTTTGAAACCTATTTTAGTACTTAACAAAGTTGACCGATTGATCACAGAAATGAAATTGACGCCATTGGACGCTTACATACGTTTGACACAAGTCTTGGAACAAGTGAATGCCATCATGGGAGAGTTATTTGCGAGCGACGTGATGGAACGTGAAGAACGCGAGGAGACGGTCGCGTCTACGTGGGACAAGGTGAACGAAAGGGATCTGGCCGATTGGCAATCCGTGTTGGAAGAGATAGATGATTCAAATTTATACTTCTCTCCGGAACAAGGAAACGTTCTTTTTACTAGTGCAATTGATGGCTGGGGATTCGGTATTAAGGAATTCGCTAAAATTTATTCAAACAAATTAGGATTTAGCGAAAAGGTTCTGCGCAAAACGTTGTGGGGGGATTTTTATATAAATAACAAAACGAAGAGGATCATGAAGGGGGCTCAGGAGAAGGCTAAGAAGCCACTTTTCGTTCAGTTGATTTTGGATAATATCTGGGTGTTGTACGAGACCATAGTGATACGAAAAGATAAAGATAAATTGCCGACTATAGCTGAAAAATTAAATATTAAATTGACAACGCGCGACTTGAGGCACACAGATCCGAAGGCACAGTTGCAAGCCGTTTGCTCGCAATGGCTTCCCCTGGCGCAAAATTGTCTCGATATGGTATGCGAGAAGGTTCCAGCACCGCATAATTTAACCCATGAGAAAATCGAGCGATTGATAAGCGGGAACAACGACTTCTCTGCTTTACCTCTTGAAACACAGCAACTGAAAGGAGCGTTCTTATCGTGCAATCCATCGTCGGAAGCGCCGATTATCATATTCGTATCGAAAATGTTTCCAGTGGAGAAGGACATGCTGCCCGAGAACAAACCGAAGTCGCTAACACCGGAAGAATTGGCACAAAGAAGAGAAATCATTCGACAGAAGCATGCAGAGCGACTGGAGCGAAAAACTTGTACTGCCATTGAAAACCACGAAGATCCCAAGGAAAGTACGCCCGATACGATAGTCTCCAATAACGTAAACCATGAGAATGTCACCGAGGATAAATCGGACGGCACATTAGTAGCCTTCGCCAGAGTGTATTCGGGAACTATAAAGACTGGAGATGAGGTATTTGTTTTAGGACCAAAGCATAATCCCACTATTGCTTTGGAACGCGATAAAGCGGGTGAGAAGGTGGATCCGTCCCATGTGCTGAAGGATTTGAAGCCCGGTAGTCATATTACGAAGGTGACTGTAACTAAATTATACATTCTTATGGGAAGAGAGCTCGAGGCCATAAATAAAGTACCGGCGGGTAATGTTTTCGGAATTGGTAGCCTAGAAGAGCACGTTTTGAAGACCGCGACTCTTTCAACGACAATTGCCTGTCCTTCGTTCACAGAGTTAACTTCTCTCGCAGTTCCTATATTGAGAGTAGCTCTGGAGCCGAAACATCCCAACGACTTGCCAAAACTCATCAATGGTTTGAAACTACTGAACCAAGCGGATGCCTGTGCCATCGTTCACATACAAGAGACTGGTGAGATCGTCCTGAGCACCGCAGGTGAAGTTCATCTGGAGAGATGCCTGGAAGATCTCAAGCTGAGATACGCCAAAATCGATATTAACGTGTCCGATCCGATCGTGCCATTTCGCGAAACCGTAGTGCCACCTCCGAAACTCGACATGGTGAACGAGGCGATCGAGAAGAAGGCGGCGGAAGTCAACCTTGAGGTCTGGACGTCAAATCGGCAATGTCGTTTTGAGATAGACGCGAAACCTCTTCCGGAAAACGTAACAAAATTATTAGAGAAAAGTGCAAATCTAATAAAGTTGTTGGACAGTTATTGCGACAGGTACACAGAGGAGAATGGGGAGCACGAGGCTATTGTTGGCGAGAATCAACTCAACGAGAGATCCATGTCTGATAAGAAGCAGAAGGAAGCAAAGGTATTTAAGAACGAATTGGAGACAGCTTTTCTCGAAGCGGGGTGGAAGGATAATGTACTGGATAAAATATGGTCATTTGGTCCACGAAAATGCGGGCCCAATATCTTACTGAACGAGACTGATTACAGGCAGAAAAAATTCTGGGAGCAGCAAAACACGAATGTCGATTCCCGAGCAGCGTAAGTATTTCAAAATATATTGATGCAAAAGCTTTTTATTGTACATATCTCGTTCGAAACCGACGTTCGATAAACAATTTATTAAATATAAATTTATCGTAATGGTAGATGTTGTAACATACAATGCAAAAAATAAATATAAACGAGATACATACTTTGACTACCTCCTTGGAACTTATTTCGAATAATAATAATAATAATAATATATCTATATATATATTTGTTATATAAATTTTTCAGATATGATAACAGTATAGTCAATGGATTTCAACTTGCTACTCTGGCTGGTCCCTTATGCGAGGAGCCTATGATGGGTGTCTGCTTCGTGTTGAAAAAGTGGGAAATTTTTGAGACTCCACAAAGGTAAATATGCATTAATAATTAATAAATATTCGCATTATAATAATTATTACATAAAAATAAATATCTTGAATCGACAACTGCGACCAAGAAATACTCTTACAATAAAGTAAATATGTGCATTGCAACTGCTTGCTTTCTGGAAGATAAGTATATATAACCATATATATAAATATATATATATATATAGAGGTCGTATTTGGCCGTGTTATTGAAGAATTTAGTAGATACTAAATACGCGAGTATAAAAAAAAGGAAGATAAATAAGATGTACGAAACGTTGCAGCGATTCCGGTGGCCAGAGCCAGGGACATTTGGGCGGTCAATTAATGTCGGCGTGTAAAGAGGCTTGTCGACGGATTTTCAGCCTGCGACACCCCCGACTGATGACGGCGATGTACAGCTGTAGCGTTTTAGTCAACTCCGACGTTCTCGGTGAGTAATTGTTAATGTATAATGTTACTGATTAGTCGCTCTCACGTATTCGTATAATCTAGAATATCATTAAATACGATCGAACACGTACTACATCTCCGAGTTTTTGTTTAGTCACGTAATTGCAAATACGTGACTTAGAGTATCTACATCGATATTTCTCATTTTTTAATCGCGTCTGATTAATATTGTGAATCTTGGAAAAATGAACAAATACCTTTGGAATATATAGTAATTAACATATTTTACTTAGTATTTTGGTAATGAGGAAAGTAGATTTTTTAAGGGCTTGCCTGTCGAAAATTCAGGTGCCAAATATATTCCTATTTTTTTTTCTTTTGTAAGATTACGCGCAATCAGACAGCTCTTTACATTTGAGTAGGCGGCGAAGCCGTTTGTCTTCCTCATTGCAATTTGTGTATGTCGTGTGTAATTAATCGACAGCTAAAATTACAAATAATATAGAAATCATGAATAATAAATATGCTTAAGACGAGTAATTATGTAAAGATGAGAATACAAGTGACATAGACGATTTCGTCCTATCGTGTCTGTTAACCCTCGTGCGGACACGCTGATGTTTGCGTTTCTAAAAGTTACCTTTCTTCCGGTTTGACTTTTTGTGATCAATAATTAATCGATGCAGATAGAGCAAAAATAATTCTTTGAACGAAAAATTACGTAGTATGAAATTAATAATAAATTAGTATGAGATTAATAATTAATTAATGTTAATTTACATTAATTCACACTACGGTGCGCCCGTTCGAGGGTTACGGAAGCGTGAGAGTAATAAGAGGGAAATGGTAGGAAGATGAAGAGAGTTCGGGCATGGGATTCGAATGGCTGAATGGGAGAATTATAAATATAATAATAGCATTATAAATTAACGCGTAAATTCGTCGATGGCAGATACAGGGTGGGATATCGCATCGCGAAACTATTCCCAGAGAGACGGCGTCGCCAGTAATTGTCGCACCTTGTCCCAGGGGAAACGTGGTTTCTCTTCGTCCTCTGCGTGTTCTGTTTAACACATCGAACGTATGTTAGTTGTAATTCATATTTGAGAAATTCAGAACAAACTTTTGAAAAAAAGAAACGATATTATAGGGTTTAAAATGTTTACCAAAAACACTGCGCGAATATCGTAGCGGTCGTCCCCTTCTGTTCCCCTGTACGCACATCATTCCGTACACCCGAATACCCGGGACACTGGCGTAAGTCGGTTGATCGTGGCTCATAGGTCCCTCTGTGAAAAAAGATGAGAAGCGATAGCTATATAAATCGCTGCTTTTGTTGGAATATTAAGAACGTTCGATGGCTCTGCATCAGGAATTGAGATTGAGATTGAGATTGAGATTAAATTTGACGAAAGAAGAAAGAAAATCAATTTCAGGTTTAGTGAACTTTGCTTCGATTGATCGAGTTCAATCTCAATCTCAATTTCTAATCTGATACAGAACCATCGAACGTCCCTGATATGGATATAAAGCTCGTTTTCACGATATACGGTTACTTAAAGATTAAAGAAAACCGTTACCAAGAAATTCATGAATGAATTTTATATAAATTTCTTGGTAACCTTTAATCTTTAGGTAATCACAGATCAGAGTTGGGAAGTAACGCGTTACTTATAACACCGTTACTTTGTCGAGCGTTACCTTTCTATAATAACGATTTGGTAATGACGTTGCGAATTTTTTTGATGGTAATGGTAACACCAGAGTTGAAAAAGTATATCGTTATTTGTAACGGGTTGAAAAAATCATTCGTAACTGAAAAAAAATTCCTAATTTAATTGTAACGCGTTACTTATTATTTTTTTCATTAAGTAACACATAATGGTGACAAATTACTTTTCAAAGTGACTTCCAACCTTAGCACAACTTTAGCGTTAATTTTTAGTTAGCGTCACCGTCATAAAAAATTGCAACGTCATTATCAAATTGTTTATTATAAAAAGTAACGGAAGAGTAACGTTACAGATATATTATGAAAACGCAAGATTTGAATTCTTAAGCCCCTTCTTCATGTCGTATTGAATATGAATTTTACACGTTGATCTTCGAAATTAGATCGACTGCCTGTTTCTACCAACGTAGATTAATTTTAAGTTCAATTTACTCTTCATCTTTTTTTAATTCTTAGAGTTAGAAAAGACGAAGAGTTAGTTGAATCAAGATTAAAATTAAATTGTAGATAATGACTATGTTTACACCGTGCGCTTAATCTGCGATCTATACGATAGGTGCCTTTGTTTAACCTACAGGTTAAACAAGGACCTGTTGTATAGGCCGCGGCCTAAATGCACGGTGTAAACGTAGCCATTGATAGAATACGGATTGTATTGATAAATCGAAAGTTTTCGGAGTTTTTTCACTCACCGAGTATGTTTGTGTCGGGACATCGGCATATTACGAGATAGTGAGACTTTCCCGTACGCACGTTCTGCAACGCCAACAGAGACCAGTCCCGCGAAGCTCTGCACTCTCGCATCTCGGCGACCGGCTCGCACGTTTTCACCAAGGTCAAGGCCTGGAATAAACATGATCAATAAGCGAGATCATATTTTATTTTTTGTACAGGTTTCTTCCTTTCGGTTAGATAAACCACACGTTACGTAATCCCGTTAGCACGAATACGTGTCACGTTAGAACGGAGCTATCTTAACAGTTTAAGATGAAGCATTATCATGTCACTTGAATGGGATGCGATTAGCGTGTCTGAGCAATCATTGATTATATTGATTATCCCGTCCATGAGTATCATGCGGTTCGAGAACCTCTCTTTATTGCATAGCCGTAACGTTACTGGTACACTACGTTTTACGGTATGTTATAATAATAAAGCCGCAGGAACATAACGATCGAGACTGAAATTACGTGAAAGCGGCCGTCTACGCGCGAGCAAGTTATGGAAATACGATACATGGATTGCGACGAATATTTCGGCTCGCTTCTAAAATCGTGTTTTCAAACAGCGATTCGTCAGTGTGCAAGTCACGGTTAATACACCGAACGAAAGTGAACGAGTTTTTCTCACGGCAGGAAACTCGCGTTAAGAGCGCCTGAGAGAGCTTCTCTGAGAGAATCAGCAGCCGGTTGGTCATGCCAGGAATGGCGCCATGCCTCGGTACCGTTTCCGTAATAGCTTAACGCTTGAAACGTTAAAATAAAACATCGTGTTAGAGGAACAGCGACTTTTAGTTTTGCGACTCGAACAGAAACTCCTCAATCATTTATATACACGTTCGTTTTTATCCGTAATTCGCGAACGCGTAAACGAATAAATGACCGTTCCCATGTGATTTCTTTTTTTTCTTACTGTGCAAAAACTGCTAAAAATATTTCGCAATCGCATATTTGTTAGATTTCGTACGATGCCCTCCTTTTTATTTCAATAATAAGTATCGGACGAAGAATAATGTGTGTGTGTGTGTATGATATTACTATATACAATTAGAAAATTTGTGTTAAGTTTAATACATTTTACGTGTCCCAAACGATTCACTCAAATTTTTGTGTTAATTTAACACAAGATGAATATGCTAAAAAGTAACAAATATTGTGTAAAAAAATTAAAATGTGACACTGACAGAATTTGTAAACAAAATATGAAGACATAGTTTTTTAGTAAAATTAACATTTATGACATATTAATTAACACGTATTTTATTCATTTATCTTAGAATTTATGTTTTAAAACACATTTTATAAATCGCATTCTTTTGACACTAACAAATGTTGAATATCAATTTAATACAAAATTCAAATAACATAATCATATTATATTAAATTAATACTTGAATATGTTAAAAATTCAATAGAAAATTTTAACAAGGATTTGAGTGGACCGTTTCTACACAAAAGTTTTGTACTGTATAGAAATAAACTTTTGGAATGACAATAGGATGAAAAAACTTTCAACTCCCTCGATCACTCGAGGGAGTCTTCACTAACCTTGGTTCGCGGATCGGTCACCAGTTCGGTTGTGTGCAGGTCGTCGCTGTCCAAGGATGCACTACAAGGATCCCGGTACCTTCCGGGACAGGCGCACAGCGGTTGCGTGAAGTTCAATCGGATGTAAACAGCGTTGCACACCTGCTGAAAGGCAGCAAGTAGATATGCTGATTGTGCGGATAGTAGTGATATTTGGTTGGTTTTGCGAGCGCCGCGCTCGCTCCCTCCGGCAATCGTACCCCCGTCTGCAAAATGGTCGATAAAAGGCCTTGCACTTTGGCAATAACGCGTGTAATAATATATCGCGCGATTTTACGAGGAATGGGCGTAACGCGTAACGACTTTCCGGGTATCGAGTAGTAATCCCGTAAATCCGATTTCGAGCGGAGCTCTATGATTAGATGAAGCCTCTTCCTAGAAAGTAACATCGCGCTCTTTCGTCGATTGACATAGCTATAATCCGTGTTTGCTCAACTTTCCCCCCCTCCTCCCGGTTTGCATCCTTCAATCACGAATAAACACGGTCTCGAGAGATTTTCTAGGAACGAGATGTTCTCTGGGAAATAGGAGAGATCTCTACGTGCCACGGATAACTTGGTCTGATTATGAAAAATGTTGTTTTCTCTTATTTCGACAGCGCATAAATCTGCACTCCGCGATATCGCGAATGAATGCATCTTTACTCTACGGCAATTGCATGGCGAACGAGGCCCCATATTGCGCGTGGTACCTTATTAACAATGTTTCTGTGCCACGAGACGATTGTGCGTCTTTTCACTTCTGCGAATTTGCACTTTCCCTTCATAATCCTATTCGCTAATTAATATGTAAATGAAGAAAGATTCGCACTTGAAACTCCAACTTCCACTCCAATATCCGGTCTCGTTAAACGCTTGTGCGAGAAAAATTGCGTTCTGTCAAAAAGGGGCCATCGATATTCGTAACGTCACGGAAATTTTTCCGCCTGTCAATAATCGTTCCAAGCGCAAAATGCACTTGTCTCAAAAAGTGACAAGTCGGCTTCGCGGGACGGGTCTTCGGTATTTATCTCGGGAGGGAAGTTACACGGTGCCAATCGCGTGATGAAAATTGTTAGAAAGGAGGCGAACTACGGAGAGGAATAAGGCATGCAAAAAAATGCGGAATGCTCGGAGTCGAGAGAGGAGACGAAAGAAAGGCCACAGCGCTAAGCAAGGTATGCTGTATCGATAGAGTACAAGATGATCCGTGCGGATATCCATCGCCGGCCAACTTCCTGGAACGTGAGACTATGCGCCGTCGACGATAGTCCTCTTTGCCTTTGCCTGATCCCACTCTTCTTTACGGCGTATCCGTTTATCTTGTTTACGTCGCTATCATCTCGTCCCTACTCTCAAAAACTTTCAGAGACTCCGAGGAACGAATGAATAATTGCCCACTCCAGAGTTCACGTAGGTTTTACCGCTCTGCCCTTCGGGGATTTGACGAGAGACCAAATATTAACACGATAAGATGATTAAAGTGTCGGCGACACCAAGATTCTCTATGGACCAAAGCACAGAATCGTGCATAACGTATAATGCATAAGAAAATGAACCAATCAAAGTACCTCATTTTTTCTTTTCCATGAAATAAAAGATTCCAAATTGGTTGATTTTTTTTATGCTTTATGCATTATAACGTTTGTTATTACAATATATTATTAAAATTAAGATTTCAAGATAATTTCACGACGATTGTAAATACACTGAAAAAAATGGTTGGATTAAATAGTAATTCTGGAAAATGGACGAATCAGAATTTTCTGATTAAATCTATTAGAATTCTAGTTGAGATAATTAGAATTCTGATTGATATCATTATTCTGGTAAAAATAAGAATTTTAGTAAATTTTATCAGAAATATTGTATCAACCAGAATTTCGATTATCTCAACTAGACTTTTAATAAATTTAATCAGAAAATTCTGATTCGTCCATTTTTGACCAGAAATTTTTTGGCAAATTCAGAAAGTACTAACTCACAAGAGAAGGAGTGTGATCGCTAATCAGCGCAGTTTTTATTAAAGTCAGTGGTCAAGTCCTTACGAGAAAAGGGTCAGGTATTTCTTGGTCTCTGGAATCGACCGCATCCTGCGGTAGAGCGTTCGGTCGAGCATGAATGAAGGGAAAAACCGCGACGGCGGTTCACGAAAGAACGCTGACAGGACGAAGATTCCACAGCTTCCCATAGAAGCGTGTCCGAAATGCCCCGTTTTGAGCTTCCGATAGCGTCGCTCACGGTGTCAGTCACGGGTGAACGCGTTAATTGCGGATCATCAAGAACCTCGCGAACTTCGCCCATGTTCCCCTTCTTCCTTTCTTTTTTTTCTCTCGTTTCCGAGCGAGATCCGTTGTCCGCGTTGCGATACAAACCGATTATAGGCAGGTCAGATGCATCGTCGGATCACACATTAAGATGTCTAAGCGGCGTCTACAATGAGATTTTAAAGCGTAAAATTTAAGCTTTAAGGCTTCTGAGTTGTCACTGCAGTCATATTGAATCGTGACGGTCAGAAGCAAAAAATGATACGTTAATTTTTATTACGTCCCATTTGTATAAATAAAGACAATTTGGATAAAACAAAATGATGAGATTGCTTTGAAACGTTGTAAAAATCGACGAAAACTATCTCCCCTGACAGTCAGTAAATAATCGTAAAAGGCACGTGTAAGTAAAAATAGGCTACGCATGCACATTGAATAAAAGTACTTTATGTGTCTTTTATCACTTTTTACGATTATTTACTATCAAGAGAGATAAAGATAGTTTTCGTCCATTTTTACCATTATTTTAAAGCGATCTCATCATTTCATTTTATCTAAATTATCTTTACTTACAAATGGCACGTAATAAAAATTAACGTGTTATTTCTCGCTTCTGACGTCACGATTCAATATGACTGTGGTGACTATTCAGGAGCCTTAAGCCTTAAGAAATTGACCAATTACAGTCGAACATGAGGAGAATGATCGGCTATAATTAGTCGTCAATTTCTTACAGTTTAAGGCTTAAGCTGAAGTTTTATGCCTTAAAATCTCACTGTAGACGCCACTTAAGCCAAACACAGAGCAGTATTAGCATCTTAAGACATTATTTATTAAGACGATCTTGAAATAAGAACTGGCTATGAATACCGGCCATGGTCGATGTCGCCGCGATGACCATAATCGGCGATGTCACCCGCTCAATATTCCGAGGCTGGATCGACCTCAAAGAGAGAGAGGCGTAAAACTGCCCGACTTCGAAAATAATGTCATCGCGTGCCGCGTAATCCACCGCATAACTCGAGCTACAAAACGCCCGTTTATAAAGCGGTCGTTGACCGAAACGCGATTGCGTTCCCTCGAGTTCCTCGCCTCGGAATCTCTTTGCCGGATTTACTTTATGATTCTTAATTCTTTCGGACGTTACGATTCCTCGGTTTTTTTCTCTTTCTATTATCTTTCCGCTCCTGCGTCCCATACGTCCGCATACCATAAGTATTTACTCTGTAGAAAAGTTCGTCCGTTTGTCGCTCGTGAATGTAGCGGTTCA